CTTTGTAAAAGACAATTTGAAAGTTGAGTTTTCTCATTTTACCTTGATTTGATAATCAGTGGCCACATCATAAGTTTCTTGATTTTAACTTCCAAGTCCTTAAAGCGCTGTCTGTATTCTCTATCTCTGTTTTTGTCGACKAGATTGTCTTCTAACATAACTTGACCAAGACCAAGCACTCCTAGTACTCGAGGCTCCAGGTCTTCCCTTTCGTTACTAATAAGCTTTGCAATAAGAAAAGAAAGAAGAAGGTAGCCTGATATACCGAAAGTACAGTAGAGGTACTGTTAATGATATGACTTTAAACTGTATTGTTACATATATTGGCRTTTTTGATTTATAGGTACATTTGCAAAAATGAAAGATCTGGCTAATTTATGTTACATGTATTGTTTTTTTTCATCCATAAAGGGATAATAAAGAGTACTTTTTTGTTTATATTACGATGTRATTTTATTTTCAAACATAAACAGAAGCTCGAATAGGAAGCGGGTGGACCACGGCCCTTTAATACTCTATAATTATTATTATTTATACCTTTAGCAAACCTTTATTTTCAAATGAATAGATATTCAACAGCCCATCGTCATTTTCTTGGCGGTTTCTGTTTTCAAGTAACTTTAGAATGCCTTTTACGCCCACCTCTGCCTGGTGGAGCTTTTGGTCCAGAAATCGCACTCGRTCGTGAACATTTAACCTTGTGCTGTTGAGGCAATGCATCAGTCATGTAAACAACACTTTACTGTACTATGAATGCAGCGATTTAAGTTGCTATTGTTAGTTTTCAATCATATCTGTACATTTTCGTTAAATTTCCAGGATTTTACCCATAGATACGTTTTGAATACAATAAGAGAAGTAATTTGTCGTCAAGTTTTTTTAACTAATACAGCTTGCTTCATTTTTTTCTGAAAATTGCATCCATATATTTTTGGTATGCGATGATAAGATAGCAATCCAGAAGCAGCACCTCTTACCTTGCTTGTTCTATAATTGGAAGATCCATAAGAAAGCTGAAAGAAAGCAGTCAGTTTTTAAATGAAAAAGGGGGAAGTGATGATATTGATTTTGATTATAATGACTTAGAGTTGCATCTCTTTGATTCCGAATTCTTATTATATACTCATCCTTTACCAATAATTCTTCATGTCATGCTCAGCATTGTCGAATAATTCTTCATATCATACTCATCTTCAACCAATAATTCTTCATATCATACTCAGCCTCAACCAATAATTCTTCATATCATACTCAAGTTTCAGCCAACAATTCTTCATATCATGTTCAGGCTCAACCAATATTTCTCCATATAATATTTATTTTCAGTAATGTTATCACCTTGTTTCCTCGATAATAGGCCATCCCATTAGCAATTTCATTTTCCTTTCAACGTCATTCATTCTCTTTTGGCATTCAACAGTGCTGTCCTTGTCAATAACCTTACCATCAGCCGTATTACGAACAAGTCTGATGACATCACTTGCACTTCGATTCAGATTATCCCGCTCAATAATCAATACCTTGAGAATAAACAATGGTGATTTTATTTGTTTTTTTTTTGTTTTTGTTTTTTTTGTTTTTTTGAAAAATAGGGGAAGTGAATGATTTATTGTGTCTTTTTATGATAAATTTCCTCTTCCTCTTTTTCTTTCATTCAGTTACAATTTTCTTCCCTGTAAGCTTTTGTCTTGAAGATTGATCGGGTGTCTTTGATCGCTGCCTGTCATCAAAGTTACTTGGATTTCAATCCTCCAACCGTTTTCCTTTCTTATTTGGCGTTATTCTATGCATAAAATATGCTTTCGCTCACCTTATTATCTCTATTGTGAATTGATTTTCTCACACGTGGTTCTATGCTTGCATAACCTCGCTCAATATCGTCAAGCATTCCCTGGAAGTCTTGTAGTGTATCGGTACTTTAAGCAAATAGTAATGTTAGCTTACCTTTCAAATAATTTCGGGTAAAAGGTTGTCAATAGTGTCACCAGCCAATCAAATCAAGCGTTATATCACATTTGTAACCAACCAATTAGATTGCTCGATGTATTACCTTCTTTCAACTACATGAGGTAAGTCTTTTAACAGTGCTATATTTCTATTTATCGCGTCGAGTCTTGTCTGATACTGGTCCTTCTCTTCGCTATCTAAGAGTTCAAATTTTACCATCTCTTGATACAATTTGTATACGTCGTTGACTTTTACTTGTAGCTGATCTAATTGCTCGATTACGGCTTTTTCCTGAAAATTATAATCATCCAACACGAAAAAATATTTATTTACATCGTGGATAGATACAACTCACGCCTTTTAATTTAGAGCGCAAATTGTCGTGCTGTAGTTTCCAKTATCACTATTGTCCAGAAATGATACATTTATTTGACAAAGTCRTACAATTGTTAAATTTTCTTGCCTTAAGAACGTCATTTCCTCTGTTAACCTTGATATCATCCAGCTTATCTTCAATGCCGCGAAGCATTCCATCGAAGTACTTCTCTCTGAATTGAGACCATTATAGGAAATCGTTTAAAATCAATATTTACCAATGTGCGGATATCTTGATAACTAGATATCTTGGATTGGATTGTGCGGGGAAATCCGTCACTTCCTCACTTAAATATATATTTCTGCTTACGTTGGTTATGTTATTCGTCTCAGCTMTTAAACTAAATTGCTATTGAATCAATCAAAACTAAATCAATCTAACCTGTTTTCCCTTCCATTTGTCATCAGAACGATGCATACTGTTCCATTTTCTAATTTCTKGATTCTTTCATCATATTCAACTTCAGTTTTTTTGTCAAAAAACKTGTCTTCAATCATGCCACGACCAAGGCTGGTAACAACGTACACGTTTAGTTCAAAATCTTTGCTCTCATGTGCTAAAGTCTATGGAAAAAAAGACGTGCAGTTTGGCTTTTGGCGTCTAGTTATCTCCTTTTTTAAGGTTTTCGGTCATTTTGTTAAACGATTACTTTTTTGAAAATTAGAAATAGTTTGTTAGTTCCGCAGTTGGAATACTTGTACGTTTTAACCCGATAAAAGGTTGGCCAATGAGACGATAAAAAATATGATATTTTTTCTACTCATAGCATGTTCACCCATTTTGTCTACAAACCATTTTGTTCGTTTCTGTTGCCACGACAGTCTTTACTCTTTGCTCTAAAGCATTAAGTGCTGCCTCCATACCTGACAGGTTATCCTCGTAGAAGGCTTTATAGTCGATGTCACTAAGGGAAAGTGTGTGCAAAAAGGTATGTTAAAATGTGGAGCGAACATAAGTCCAAGCCTGATGAATCTACGACGAACCCGCGGTTATGGCGTCGGCTATGAGTTTTTTAAAGGAATTACTTTAATGCCTAGTATTTTGCTAAATTCACTGTGGTTCTTGTACTATTTACACATGGCGTCTCGAAAATGTAGAAATGTTTTGTTCCCTTACCTTGCCCTGATAATGATTGGCCAAATCATCAACTTTTTCATTCTCTTTTCCAGAGTCTCAAACCTCGTCAGGTATTCCTCCGTTCTGTTCCTATCAACCAGACTCTCCTCTATCATACCTCGTCCCAGGCCAACTACACCAGCAACTGTTGGTCCCAGGTCCTCTCGTTGTCTTATCAGCATCTGCTCAAGGTGTAATTTTACAACACGTATCATGAAATGTAGATGRATACGCCCTCATTGTCATTCCGATCCCAGAGAACTATCTGACCTCTARTTTGTCAAAGAGGCCTTAGTTAAGAAAGTAAAAAGCTCACCCAGTAAGTACAGTAAATTAAAGCCACTTTCCATTAACCTTTTTTCGACTGTTCGCTGTTATTATTCAGTATTTCATACTTTTATTTTTACCTCTGCCTCATCTTGTTCGAGATTCGTCTTTTTAATCTTCCTTTCCAACGTCGTAATGCCGCGCTCAGCTTCTTCTAGGTTTTTGTCCAAGAATCGTACTCTATCGTGTACACTCAATCTTGTGCTGAAAAGATGGATAGCTCTCTCATATAAAGAACAGTTAAAGGGTAAAGGATTATDCAACAGATACTATGGATCATTCAGAGGCCCATTTTATTGGTTGATATATCGAAAAGCACCCTTGCACACTGAAAAGATTACAAATTTTCACGACGCATCGGACAGTGCAYCATTCTCGTGACCCCGAGAAGGTGAAAGATGCAGCTATGTCCGTGCTYCATTCTTATGTAACTTTTCTAGACACGCTTAAAATCGTGTAAGTCTAGTCCATTGYATTACCTTGCTTGCTCAACWATCGGAAGTCCCATCAGCAAACTGAAAATAAAAGAAATGCGAGCTCATGTTGTGATCTTGGTATTATTCATTTTGTTTCAACTGATTTGACCRTKCAAAAGCGAACAAGCACAATGTAGGATACACAAGAACAACAAGGCAATGCAACAAAAGATATGAAACACACTACAGCTAACACAACACATTTGTACGACACAACTTTCTATTTATAATATCACACCTTGTGTGCTGTAGAATTGGCCAGCTCATGAGAAACTGCATTTTCTTCTCTAGTTTGTCCAGTCTCTTCTTGTAATCTTYAGCTTGTTSTGGATCACATCGGTTGTTGCTTATCATTGTTCGACCGATACTTAGAACATTTTGTATGTCATAATTGAGATCATTACGCTCCTTGATCAAACCCTGAAATGTAAGCAGTCGCATGWTTACTTCGAGATATGGTCAATCATTCAGACAAAGTGGAGCAATCAATCTGYCCATCAKTCAAGCAGGAAGCAAGCAAGCARGCARRCAAGCAAGCAAGCAAGAAAGTAAGCAGACAGTAGAACATTCGTACTTACCTTATTATCTCTATTATTAATGGATTTTTTGACGCGTGGTTCAATTGCGTCGAACGCATTCTCTGCATGTAAGAGCTTTACATCAAAGTTTTTTTCTAGGTCAAAAMCACTGGAAAGATATAAGTGGGTGTTAAGTCGAKTCTCASTTTTGAGACCCTTTCACTAATGCCGTGCGAGATAATATAGTCAAGAAATMAGTTTTGTACCCAATAWTTTCATATTCTTCCTCTGTCATCCATGAYTGCACTTCTTGTTCCAAATTCTTGATTCTCTGCTCGAATTCATTTTCAGTCTTTTCATCGAAGAATTGGTCCTCAATCATACCACGTCCGAGGCTTCCAGTGGTGTAGACTTGAATCTGCAAATCCTTCAGTTCTTCCCTCAAAGCCTTGATTAAAAAAATGTATATTGRTTAAATAATTAGTGGAATTAAGCCATTTTATCTCTTATTTGCCACAAAAATGCTGTCTTTGTGGGATAAGAGCCTTGTTTGTACTAATTAGCAGTAGTACAATTTAGTAGCAGAGAACTTCATGTTTGTTTCGGAAAAACTGAGAGGCGAGCAAAAAAGTAAAAAAAAGTAGACGAGTGCAATATTATTTACAGTAGAATATGAACACAAAAATGAAAAAGATAAGGAAAGCGAAAAGTATTAAATAGAGAAAACTAAAAAGACATTTTGTTCATTTACCTTGTCACCTTCAGCGAAAGTTGTCCTGACTCGATATAATTTCACAGCTTTCTCTACTGCGGACATTTTTTCTTCGAAGAACGTGCTATAGTTCACAGTACTTTGAAAAAAAAAACAGCAACAATTTCACTGATAAATTCGTTTATGTCAATATATACTCACACGAGATTTCACACGATCCTAATACTAGAAAGATTCTCCTTAAAGTAGCTCACCTTCCAACTTGCAGTGCAGCCAGCAATCTCATTTCTTTTTCAAGTGTTTCCATTCTTTGTTTGAAACTATTCTCCGTTTTTTCATCAAAGAACTTGTCTTGAATCATACCACGTCCCAAGTTGACTACAGAGTAAACTTTGATCTCTAGTTCGTCGCGTTCTTGAAGCAAAGTCTGATAAAAATGCCAATGAATTGTGATAAATAATGGACATAAAGATATAACCGAGCGGCCTGAGTAATTCAATTTAGAAATCAATGCATTTTGTAGTATGTTGTTGAATCATGAAATTGTACTATCAATAGCTTAAGTTTTCAGATTGGACATAAAGATAACACCGAATTGGGCCCCTCGTAGTGGTAGTCCAAGTAAGCAATTTGATAAGAAAAGTATTCTTGCAGTATGTGGTTGAATCATGTATGTAAATGTCTTGTAAAAAGTTTTTTTTCGCAGAGTAGAGCGATTTTTAAAACGATGAGAGCCACAATAATTACCTTTTCTTTTGATGGGCTTGCTTTACTCTTGATTTTCTGTTTTAAGTCAGTAGTAAGTTTTTCAACTTCTGTAAGCTTTCCATCCAGGTGTTTCCTGTAATCTATCTCACTAAATGAATGAAAGAATGAATGAAAAAAATAATAATTAATGTCAATGCCAGCTAATCAGAGAAACTGATCAGTTAACAATATCAACAACAGCAACAACAACAACATCAACAATAACAACATCATCATCAACAACAGCAACAACAACAACAGCAACAACAACAACATCAACAATAACAACATCATCAACAGCAACAACTACAGCAGCAGCAACAACAAAATCAACAATAACAACATCACCAACAGCAACAACAACAACTACAGCAGCAGCAACAACATCAACAATAAAGATATCAACAACAACAACAACAGCAGCAACAACATCAACCATAACAACATCATCAACAGCAACAACATCAACTACAGCAGAAGCAACAATAACAACAGCAGCAACAACGACTACAGCAACAGCAACAACATCAACAATAACAACATCATCAACAACAACAACTACAGCTGCAACAACAGCATCAATGTTATCATCAACCTTATMAKCAACCACACCAACAAAAGATGCATAACATCGTAACAAAAGGTGCAGTTTCAACAACAACGACAACTTGAACATCAGTAGCGAAAACAACAACAACAACAACGTCGACGACGACAGTGACTAAGAAAGAAATACTATTTACCTGTGATTGTACATAATCGGCCATTCCATTAATTCACTTATTTTCAGTCGAATCTCCTTGATTTTTTGTTCATAACCATTTGATTTCTTCTTATCGACAACTTTGTACTGGATCATACTATCGCCAAGACTGATAATTCCTAAAATCTCTGGCTCGATATCTTGACGTTCTTTCTCTAAAGACTAAGAAGCAAACAAGCAATATGTTTTTTACCAAAATAGGCTTTGCAGCGACGACATTTTCTTGAGCAAAGTATAACGGCAAAAAAGCCGTCGCTCTTAGTTTTATGTCAGTTAAAAAACTCTTCATATATGTTACCTCTTTATCATCTTGAGATATTTGTTTGCTCTTAATCCTTGGTTCGATATCCTTCAAGATCCTTTGAGCTTCATTAATTTTTTTCTCCAAGAATTTTTCACGATCACGAGAAAAGAAGAGCACGCTAAAAACAATCGGTTTTTCGTCATTAATTCAATTAAATTTGAATCAAAGCCTATTTTGTTATTTTATTACCTGGTATTATCAAGTATTGGCCATCCCTTCAATAATCTCATTTGTCTCTCTAAGTCATCCATTCTCTTGGAATAATCCACGGCTTTATCTTTCTCAACGATAACCTCTTTGACCATACTACGACCAAGACGGATTGTATCATGAACGTTTTGGCTTAGATTGTCGCGTTCTTTGATTAGAGCCTACAAGAATAAGAATAGGAACAATATTAATGAGTCTCCATACACGAATCGTAATGACGGAGCGATCACATTGTGTTCTTGGGCAAGACACTACTCTCTCAGTGCCTCGTCTTCTCGGAAAAGGACGTAAAGCCGGAGGTCCCGTCACTCTACACTTCACATTAGCATCAGAGGGACGTTAAAGAACCCATACCACTATTTGACTAAGAGTAGGGCACAGGGTTCCCGGTGTGGCCAGGGCTCATCTCACCAGCATTGAGGTCGGCTTGGCGTAGTGTTCGTATAAAGGTTACTAGTCAATGAGACCTCATACTAATATACAGCTAGTATTAACCCTATGAACAGTGCTGAGTGGAACTATGTAGATGTAGACGTCATGTGATGTTTGACGCCTTAGAACCGCGCTATCGTTTTTCACATTACCATACCTTGCTGTCTTTTTGATGAATAGATAATCTAATACGCGACTCCATATTAGACACTGCAGATTCCATTTCCAACAGCTCGTGTTTGAATATTTTCTTGTAGTTATTTGCTCTGTAGACGGGGAGTATCATTATTGTCAAAATGTAATGTTTGATTGTTGCTCAACATCTTCCCGGAACTCATGTTTATTACAATTTCATATGAACTTCAACAGTTCGAAGCTGATGAACCTTGGCTAGGGTGTTTTTACTTCAAACTGAAAATTTCTATCGGTAAAATATCAAACTTACTTCACCAAACTAATATAAAGACTCCTTCAAAACCGAACGATCTCCGAACATTTACGGGCTGTAAATTTAAGTTTAATTTGGCGGAAAGATTCTCAGTAAAAATTTCGGGGTTTTCATGGAATGAAAATTGTTGCCCTTTGAGTCCGTTACAATGATGAATGTCTTACTTGTCCAGCTTTTCCTTAGTCGTTGTTATAAGAATCTCTATTCTGCTTTCCAGAGCCTGCATTCTCCTTATATAGCGGTCTTCTTTCTCCTCATCAACATTCTTATCTGCTATCATTTGACGACCACGTGACACTACGCCACTTATCTTCAATTTCAGGCTAGTACATCCTTGGATGAGTTCCTATAGATTAACTAATAATTATTAATTTTATAATGTTATTTACAATAATTCATGTTTTTTTTACCTCCAAATTAGCCACGTCCAGTTCAGCGTCTTTCAATCGTCCCTCAAGGTCTGTAATTGCTCTCTCTACTTCTAAGAGATTACTTTCGAAAAGCTCGTTGCGGCTTGATAACCTAAATCAGCACACGAAGATTTAATACTTAAGGCTTGTTATATAGGTTATATAGTAAAAGTTTTGACTATTCAGACTRTGTACGGAATTTCCAAACTGAGATTCAAAAGATGAAGCGAGAATAGTTCTGTRYACATTAAGTGCGCTTTACTTACGACTTTTCCAAAAGWGTTGTCTCTGATTGCTCCAAAACTGCATCACACTCCATAGATATTTTGTCGATGTCACTTTCAGATTCACCAGGGCGTTTCGGCGAGCCAGTCGATTCGATATCAATTGCAACGGATTGCTGGATTGATGGGAGTCCCTCGATTTCCGATAGCTTTGTGGTTTCTTTGGTAACTACGCGTGTGTTCTCGTGTGATTGCAGACTTGTGTTCATACGAGTTTCCCTACTTGTGGCCTCGCCCAATTGATCATCCGTTGTAGAGASATCCCTACTTTCAACTGTCACGCGCGATTCCTCGCGTGGAGCTCCGTCMATCTCGCTTATTTCGCTGATCTCACGCGAAGTACCACTCACAAACGTTTGGGAAACAGTACGTGTTTGCACAACTGGTTTTTCAATCGTGTATATCTCGCGTGTTACCGTTGTAACAGTTTTTCCTGAACTACTTTCTTTCACGGTTGTAATCGTTGTATTTTCAGGGCCATGTTTTTCCTTGTGCTCGAATTTCTTCCACGGAACTATATCATCTTTTCCCCTCGTTTCTAAGTTGATGACCGTTTCTGTTGAGGTTGAGTCAGAGTCGGTGGTAAAWGGGCTTGAAGTATCGGTTGGTTGAAAACGACGTTTTAGTTCTGGCGAGCTTAGCTGAAAATACGAAGAAACATTAACTAAAGGGTTTCATTTCTGGTAAATTGGATTGAATTTAGTTGAAGAGACAGAATTAGCTCAAATTAGTATCTAGTCAGTCTCCGATGAAGCCGTAGACGGCGAAATCTTAGACGTTTTAACTCATTACGCAGTAGGCCTCAAACGAACTTACTCCAATTAGCTCAAACTGATCACGAGGTTTTGTCCTACCATGTKCTGGTAGCCATGTTTAATACTTGGCGTAATAGATTAATACTAGCACGTGTTTGTTTTGCTACTGAAGATTATGTTGGAATATACCTCTATGTTTTCGTTGTCAGATATCGATGACAAGCTGTACATTTCTTTGTGTTTTACTCTTGGTTCACTGAAATCCTGCAAATTCACAAAGGAAGCTCACATGAGTTGCGTCTGTCATGAAGCCATGTTAGAAAAACGTTTATCATTAATTCAATTTGAGTTCGTTCTTCGACCAAGAAATCAAAGTTAGATTGGTTTTGCCGCAACGGAAAAGAAAAAATGGAAACCGCAAGATATGGCAAACTGATGTAAATTCCAAAACTCACCGGCAAAGCTTCTAAGTCAGTTGTGGTTGCTGTCGAAAATACGTCTTCGCTCTGTCCTTGCTGCAATGAGAGATTAATATTCTTCAGTATCGGTAAACTATTTTCAGTTCGATTCCGTTTTCGCACTCCATTTTCTTGAAATTCAATAAAGAGATCAAAATTGCCAACGTAAAACAGCCTGTATCGTACTATTTACAATGGGAAATGACTAGAAAATAATTAGAGCCTTTGATATGCTATTTAAAGAGACAAAAAAAAGGGATCTTTAATTAGTACCATTTGCAKGTCAACTCCAAGYGACATGTCACGGTGAGGTCCCACACTGGATGAACTGGAGCTTCTAGAACTTTTGGAGCTTTTGGAGACATCTGATGAAACGGAGCCAACTTGTATCGTTCTTTTCTATCCATGAWAAACATCAAAAAATATATAAAAGGGTATTTGAAAATACCCCGATATTTCTTATAATGATTCGTGACTCAATCCCGCATTAAGCAGTCTGCCAACTGTCCATCAGAACTTTTAAAGAGCAATGCAATTGTTCATGAGCATGCAAAAGCAACAAATGCATATGTCAATATACATTTTTTACATTAGTTTGTTCAAAGTATATGGTATCTATCCACTTTTCTATCTTAGTATGTATGAGTATGAGTTGATTAAAACATTAGTTTATAACAGTGCAAGCTTAAGACACTTAAACGTTATGAATGTCCAAAACGAAATATCTGGAAAAACCTTTTTTCCCTTAGCCCAAATAATATAGCTTCTTAGCTAATACGATTTAACAAAAGCAAAAGCGTTGTTTGAATAGTCTATTTCACATTTTTTTCTCTATAAATTCGACTCTCTGTGATCGAATATCGACGWGTAGAGCTGCGGTGCTGCACTGGTACCTTGGGGTCATGGGTTCGAATCCAGTTTAAGATCGATATTTGTATCCTCTTCCATTCCATTTAAGGCGCCTCATATTCCGCATATTTAAGATACAGATCGATATAGTCTAGTGCAAGGTATACTAACCTCTTCAATTAATATTTGGGGGAAATCACTACTTTCGGACTCGTCCGAACTTTTATCGGATTTCTCGTTAATTTTCTTTCGCCTCAGAAAGAATTTCTTATTACTACTTGTCTGCTTCGATGGTTCCTTGGTCGCTTCAGAGACGGTCTTAGAGAGAGAAAAGACGGCGCGTTATGRAGKGTCAATCGATTTTTTTGATCACATGCAACTCAAATAACGTTGAAAAAGATCTGTCAGAAATTTGCTCTACTTTTGTGGAAGCTATATTGCTTTTCGTTTATTATAGACCAGTAAAAAAACTACCAAGAATTTTAACTTGTTGTGAACGTCTCATCTTTGACGCTATAAGCCAACTAAGTTTGAATGAAGCCGGATGTTTGTYGSGATTCATAAGCTCGCTGTTGGGTAGTCTTTTATGTATTTTAGTTAGATGTGGTAGAAAGGAAATGTAGGATGTAGTTTTCCCAGGATGAATGGAACACAAAAGGAACGTTTCTTTACACTAGCAATTGCATTTAGRTGAAAATTGAAGCCTGTTAAATTTATGGTTGTTTATTTGAGCTGCATGCAATGCTTTTATTAGATGGTTAAACATTAAAAACACATGCATCGGTTGCAATTACGATCAATTAAAAATAATACATGCATTATATATATTACTACATGTGGTTCGCTAAACGGTGGTAAAAAAAAACAATTTTAACATTAATAATCTCTTCCAAAATTACCGTCACAACATGACGTGTGGTTGTCTCCAAAGCCTCAGATGACGTCACGGCCTCACTGGATTTATCACGTGATTCCAAGTGTTCAAAAAGACATGTTAGGTACATTGTTATCATCTTTTTGTCTGGCTTCTCCACATCTACATCTGAATATATAAGGATAAAAAATGAAATGTGCCGTTGTGAATGTCTTTTCTTAGCTTCTTGTTATTAGTTTTTCACATTTTCATCCAATGACGAAATCTTGCTTGTTAGTTATATACCTATTGGTTCCAAGATTCTCGGGACGTTCCACTCCAACGAGGCAGTGGTGAACGCGTGGTCCAGGCGAGTGTACGTGTCCGACCTCATCACTTGTGCGAAGTCGAAAAGATCAGGCCTACGTGGTTCAAATTATAACAGTTAATAGGTTAAARTCACGCTAGCTAAAAACATCAATAGATTTGAAAATCCCCTAGAGTTATTTGCGCAAATATATGGGGATAATTTTTAAGTTGTCCAGGTTTGTTAGTCCTGATAAATGGAGTAATAACCACCTGTATGAGTGTATAATGGCATTAAAAGCCTTTCCATCTCTCCAGCTTGTTGAAAAATCTGTTACTTTTACTTCTTTGTACCTTTGTTGAGATAAGAAATTCCTCAATAATMATCACTGACTGATGCAAAGGCACACTGGAAAAAARTCGCGCRTTTTAAAGGTTGTAAATTTGATRTAAATATGATGTAAGTGTCCAAAATTCTGTAAATTTGATGGAAATCATTTACATTAAATTTACAGAATTTTGGACACTTAMATCATATTTACATCAAATTTACAACGTATAAAGCRCGCGATGTTTTTCAGTGGCATCTCCGCGGGCCTTATTTAACCAATAAACTATGACGATCTTCACGTAATCTTTTATTGTCTAAACAGAAAACCTACCCCGCAAATCGTTTTTTACACCAGCTTTGTAACGTTTTTTCGATGCTGTAGCTCTTGGAGTCCGCTTGAAGAGTACCTTTCAGCTTAATGGAAAATCAAGAAACAATATGAAAATGTCACTTGTAACCATTCGAATTGGATTACATTTGGGACTCGGAAAGAGGAAAACTGGAGTCATAGGAGTGAAATAATGACCAGAAGTGAGTGAAACTTTCATTCTAACTCGCTCCCCCCACTTCCTGGATAAATTTGTTGTTGTTGTTTTCGTCGTCATTGTGTTGTCGTTGCTGGTGTTGMTGTTTATTTGCTCCSGTCTTACAAGCAGAATTGTAAGGAGCTCGAAAGAGGATTTTCCTGGAAAAGAGGCGGTGTTGAACAACAGCACCATCTCCGTCACTCTAACCCTGTCTAACATATCACGGATATCATCGCCCTAGCTTAGTTWTACCTGAAACAAAAATGTATACCTGGAAATGCACAATAATGTTCCACAGCAAGCCAAGAATGGTTTTCCTGTTCCCTTCAGACATATCTTTTGTGTTAATGCCATCAAGCTTAATCTGAATGGAACAATAAATGTCAAGCATGTAGGATTTCTACTTGCGTCAATCTGTTCTACGTTCTTCTGAGACATACCTTGTTCTCCTTGCATATATCCAGGGTTGTTTGAAGGTTTTCGATTTTGTGAAGATGGGAGTGACCACTTGACTTTTCCTAGTACAAAAAACAACAATGCTTAATTCTGAACCAAAAAGGGTTCTAGGCCCGACTTTGGGAAGTCGACTGGAAAAACTTCTTATTTTCTCCTTTTTTTTTTTTTTGAAACGTAGAAGGAACAAGAAAGTAGTATCCTTAGTTTCCCAAAAAGTGTTTTTTTTTTATGGAACTGAGCTCATATATCTACGGCATTAGCTTGGTGGATATTTCAACATAAATCTTTTGTTTTTACTTACGATTCTCCTATCCAGCAAAACCTCAAAGAGACTCAGCCAATTCGCTCCATCAGACAGATCCTTAATCAAGTCTTTGATTTGTACCGGAGGGTATGCCTTGAAAAGCATGAGGCATATTAGTAATATGTATATATAGCAACTAAAAGTTCACTTGACTTCCTCTTACCTTTGAGAGGTGCGAGTTCACCCATTTAGTAAATGCCTTGATGTGRACCTCTTCGCGTTCTGAGACTAATTCAGCATGTTAAATCATTAGTTAAAGTAAAGTTGAGTGTGTTTTTTAATTACAATGGTTTTCTGTGGAAGTGCGAATCGGTGGCAAGACCAGTGCATTGCATATAAAGAAGAAAGAACACTGAAATAAATTATTTCCATGCATTTTCGAGATGTGAAAGTGAGCAAAAATTCRTGTTAATTCGAAGCTCAGAGCMTAGTGGCGTGCAGTATTGAAGTATCGAAATTTGTCTTGCTGGTGCACGTGCTTTAGACGGTGATGAAACCGATGCAGATGCGAACTTACCCAAATATTCAATCCAATCGTCAATTTCCTCGAATATGTCTGCATGTGAAATTTTACAATCTGGCGTTAAACTCTATAGCAGTGATTTCTCCAGTCAGATATGCTGAATCGCGACATTGCAGTAGATTTATGCTCTTTATTATTGGCTTCTCTTTTCTTTTTTTTTTTCCCGCTTTTTTCTCCCCTTTCTTCTAGTTCACTTTCTTCTTCGGTTCGTCAATATCTTTTTTCTAGTATAGTTTATCTTTCTTTCTTTTTTTTCTTTTTCATTTTTTTTCCTACTGTCTTCCTACCCGTCTCGCCTTATTGTCAATTTCTCTCACATGATAACCTCAAGAAATTGAGTTAATGTTATCAAGTGAATGTTACATAAAATATGGTGTCACCGTAGCCTGCGTGCAGCCGAACCAAAACTTGTTGTTTAAACAACAAGTTTTGGTTCGGCTGCACGCAGGCTATGTCACCGTTGCTACAGCATTATTTACTCTGGTAAACGAATCCATTTTATAATCCATAGAATGTATAAAGAAACTTATACTACTCTCAAACGTAAATTTCACGGGGAAAACTAGCTCTGCTATCTGACATGGTCTTTTTCCTTTTTGGCTGAACGCGACCAATGCATGCTTTTTAGAAAAAAAAATTCATTACCAGTACTTCTCTTCTAAGCTGACAAATCCTTACTCAGGATTGACGGTCCGTTCCAGTATTAACATTTGCATATCATTTTCTATGAACTTGACATTATAATAATCTACCGACATGTCTGAGTTACTCCATATGTGTTTGTATCTGACTACACTATTGTCATAATCTTGAACTTGCAATGCTTTCTCTGCATGTGTTAGTTTAAGTAATTCTTTACATAGTTTTGACCTCCAAAGGAATTGAAAAAAGTTTCTAAAACTTTTAAAATTATTCTGGGAAATATTYAGATTTCATGTTAATCATGTTATGTATGTGTATGAGAATACATCTTATCTTATAAACAAGCCAGATGGAGACCATTTTGAATCAWTTTGCACCGTTATCTGGATATTTGAACGCAAATTTCATTTTGATTGGAAAATTCAATGAACTCAATGAATGTATTAGTTACTATAATGTACGCTTTAGTTGTCCTTGAAGAGTCCATTAACTATGACTCTAATTCAAAACCTATGGTGCCCCCACTACAGAACATAGCATACGGCAGAATGCTGCACAAGTACCTTTAATATAAGGAAATCCTGAATCGAGAAAACGCATGAGTAGAATACAGCACGATTAGGGCAAAGCGTAACGTAATCTTTACTTATTATTWCGAAATTCACTCTATTGTCGTCTCGTCAGACAGTAAACCTGTAGTACAATCATATGGTCATGTCAATGAGCTGACCTCTTTTTCTTTTTTAATCTAATGATTTCGCTGCACAATGTACAGTGATCATTTGGTTGAAATAAAGCAWTCTATGCACTCTCAAAGCGGAAGGATTACAGCGCAGATCACGAGAAATTAGTAATCGACACACACCGACACACAATGAATCCGAGACATTTGAAAACGTCAAATRCACAACGAAGTTCTCGTTCTTACCTGCGCCTCCCAGTGTAATATTCTTTAACTTTACACCTCGTATGCCGTCAGACATTTTAATGTCRAAGACAGTACGCTTTCTGTTATTTTTCTTCCATCAAATCGTACCACGGTTCCACTGAAGTGCAGTTAAGTATTTTGCATACAGTATAGTATGTTTTGCGATTTGGTTCACTGAGCTTCATTGTTCGCGGTCGATCTTTCCGCGTATCCGCTCGTTTACGCTGATCGAAAATGTAATAAATGGCGGCAAGAAAATAAACATAAGCTTAAGTTATGTTTCATAAGCAATAAACAAAACAATTAATTCAAAAATAGTTGAGATGTATCTTTTCTACTAAAGATTCTATGTATAACTTCGCTCAAGAGTTTGTTTTTCTAATTGCAAAGCCCTTGTGATGAATATAAAATGATATTCAAATAATTATTTTTGGCGCTAATGTGTTAATTTAGCATAAATTGATACAAAGTCTTGGCTGGTATAAACACTTTGTATAATATTGGCYATACAGTATCGTCAGCGGGATCATACATTTTCGATTCTCAATTTGTTCAAAATGGAGGTACATTTTTAAGTAATCTGAAAAGACTGCATTGTATCTACCAGCACTGAGTTTGGGGATGTTTCCGATATGCCAGTCTCAAACATCGAACTTCACATGTGTCGATATCAATACAATTAAACTCATCGAAATTTTTGGCCTCTAACAAGAAATTTACGTTTAACTCTGTGAATGTGAGATTTGACGTCCAAAACGCGCCTATCTGAAAGTTTCCCCTTCACTCATATTCAAGGTGTTCATGTCTTACATATAGAACGCTTATAAATAGTAGTGTTTGCCAAAATGGTTTATTTTCTGTGAATGCCCCCGGTGGCATTTTTATCCCGGTTTGCAAAGCGTTTGTAGTGGCCCCCGATACTAAAGTCAATCAAATACAACTGAATTACCAATAAACATTTTATTACTTATATCGCAAAATATATCGATATCATGTACAAATTGTACCCTCACAAGGTCTTAACCATGTCTCGACTCAAATAATTAGGCACTRGGCTCAATCCCGAAGAATTTTGCTGTGGTTTGTGTAGTAGAAAAATAGTATAAATCATATGTAATCTTAATGTGTTATGTTTTGGTTRTAATTTTGGACAGCATTCTTCGGATTGCCTCATTGGTTATGACCTTGTCATTTGCATTCTAATCGATGCAAATTTATCATACATATATATGTACAATGATATTAACAATACCGCAGCCTGGATGTGATAAAATGTTGGACGGGTAAATACATCGCGAAGGACTAGATCTTAACGGACTGTAAATCATGGAAAATGAAATAAATTGTGTTATGTAATATTTTTTTAGTTGATTTTAGAGATTTTTAGACACTAATCCTTCGACTCCCATCTTTTAGGCTAAGGCATTGTTGTCCTTGCAACATTCATTTGTCGGTAATAGTTGCTTAACCGTATTGAATACGATACAGGGCACGTTTTTGTACTATAAACAAAGCCGTAGTCTGGATATGTTAAAATAACGGTCCAAGCAATAATGAATCACGAAGGAATAGTGCATGGCGTACAGWAAATGAAAAATTGTGTACTTTTTACTGTGATTTTAGAGAGTTTTAGGCACTGCTCCTTCGACTTGCTACTTTTAGACTAAGACTTTGTTTTCTATCTTGTATCTTTTTGTCAGTACTATGACATTTTCATAGAAATATATTTTGCGAAAATTATGAAACCAGGCGGGGCTGTAGCCAGAAAGATGAAAAATGTATGAGGCATTTGATTATTGCYGAGAAGTAGTGCGGATTGTACAATTATAAAAAATATATAATGTATAAAATTAGAGGTTTTTTTACCTTTTAGGCAGGACTTCTCCGCTTTGCCTCGTGACTAAAGCCCCGTTATTATTATACCAAATTCGGTATATGAAATCTTTGAAATTCATATATAGTGCAAAGCAAATTTATTTTATAATAGATTTGGTTTCAGGGCCGTAGCAACTCAATACAAATTTAACGAGGCATCTAAAGGCGAAGGAGTTGAAAGTTAAAAATAGTATAAAAATTGCAAAGAACTCATAARAAAATATAGAATTTTTCAGATTTTAGACAACTCCTTCCGCTTGCCTCATAAATGCTAATGCCCTGTTTTATATTTTGAATTACACATTTTCACATATATATTATTTACATTTTTACAAATACTTTTCAAAAGTTCATTTAAAAAAAAAAACAGATAAGATATTTTTCAAAAGTTTCTTTTTGTTTAAAAAAAWTAGAAGTCAAATTAAGCTTTTCGAGGTCTTCTGATAATTGTTGGTCTACTGTTAACATTATTTKTGTTTGCTTTTGCATCAGGAGCAGCTTTTACCCATGGACGTTTTCTCTGTAATAGAAGACACAATGAGAAAAATATAAGTGATATACGGTTGTACGATTACTGTCCAGACTGTTAATTATGAGGGGTTGAAGTACATTTTCTTCACCGACAGTGATGGGTTTTGAGTATTATGATGAGTATTATTTTTTTTGTAGCAAGGATATGAGTTGTAATACCCTTGAACTGACTCTTAAAGTTTTTAGACTATATATTACCTTAATATTTTGTCCATTGGCCGTCGGCTGTCCTGGCTGCTTGATATCATTTGTGGCATTTTGAGCAACWGTGGCATTGTTGCCGGCGAAAGACGTACTTGCGCCTTCGTTTACAGTAGACCTGACAATAACATGGATTAATTATTTTCCTGTACAACTACCGTTAATYGTCATCATAAACTATTTCATCTTATTTCTTGCTTTTCAGTGCTTTGTACTATAAAACCAAGGCCACCCTTTAATCTAATTTTGCATCGCTGTTCCGGCACAACAAAGCTCTTTAGTAGTGGCTTTCAATATAAAAAGTGAATCAGTTTCTTTGCTTTTTACCTGTTAACACTTCTTTCTTGRCTGGTGATTTGCTGGCGTTCTCTCTCGCTAGCTTGGAAATCGTCCTCGATTCGGGGACTTTTCGGACGGACGACAGGTTTTTCAGCGACAGTCTGTCCATTGTCAATGCTTCTTTTGCGATAGCTTACTTTCKTGGGCACTAAATTCGAGCGCAAAAGGGTGTTGTATTATATTATAGATGAAAATTTGTTTGGAAWATATAGGTTGGATGATAGTTTCATCCAACTAGCTATTGCCGTAAGTTGATAAAACTTTCATCCTTTTAATTGAGATTATGATTACCTTGATCAATGTTTGACTCAAACGTCCCATAGTGTTGGTTGCCATGTGTTGCTTTAGGACCATGGAACTCTTTGGGCTTCTTAGGCACSGGCTCCTCATCCAACTCAGGTGTTTCATAGGGCTCTTGGYATTTACTTGAATATGGTGATGGTCTAGATGCAGTACCACGTCCAGAACCTCGACCTTGTGAGCCTTGCGTTTCATGTGGTTTCTGGCACCTCCTTTCATATGGGCATGGTCTAGATCCATTACCTCGTCCAGAATTGACACTCGATGAGCGAGCCTTTCTGCGCGCTAAAACACAAAAGTATAGAGTATCCATTACTAAGCTGAACGTTTTGCTCTATTTTATCAATTAACAGTTTACATAAAAGTAAGCACCATGTCATAAAATTCTACCATCCTAAAGCCTTCAACCAGTARTAGAAAATGACAGGATAAAGAAAACCGAAAAAAACCTACCTGGTTACATTTTTTGTGTTTGATAACCAATTTGTTTGGTTGGTTAATCCTAACCCTAACACTACCGGCTTTATAAATGTATAATCTGTTTAGTGAACTGATACCTACCTTCTAGTCTAGATCTAAGGTCATCCTCAGAGTATCTCGGTGTTTCTTTGGAAGCTTCAGTCTCTGTCAAAGGCTTGCCTTTCTTGTTGTCTGTTTTATTCTCAGTCAGAGGCTCGTCTTTCTTGTTGGCAGATTTATTCTCTGACAAAGGCTTTCCTTTCTTGTTGTTAGCCTTATTGTCTGTCAAAGGATTGCTTTTCTTGTTGACAGTAGCCTTTTTCTGACGCTCATCAACCATAACTCGAATCCTCCTGATTTCAGAGGCGATTTGGGCTTTSAGTCGACTCAAGTCCTTGTTGGCCTCTTTTATGTCGCATGGACGACCACCTTTACCGGTATCTTTTACCCAGGTCTTGCTTTTTGTGTGCGAAGCATATGGATGCCGAGATTGATAAYTGCGTCTTGRTTTATTGKGTTCCGCATTTCGCCACTGTGTACGCCTTTCATCTTTAAAAGATTAAGATAAGATTATTCGGTTATGAGCTCAAATTAGGAACTAGCGAGTTTTTTCTATATTTTAACACCTTTTGTGTATATGATTTGTATTTTTGCATGATATCATTTCCGTTTACGTTTATTGAAGACCCATGAATTCATTTTGTGCTAAAGAGTATTTGAAATTTTAGTATAATTCCACTTACGTACCTTGTACATATGTATCAGCAGAGGAAGCCTGATGTGGTCCTGATCTGTAGAAGTTACGCCGTGATTCATTTCTGAATACCCGTGGTTTGTTATTGTAACCAGGGTTCGGCCTGTAGTCATTGCGTTGTGGTATGAATTTGCCTTTGGCCTCATCGCTCTTGTAAAACTTTGGCTTTTGTAAAAACTTTGTGTCTTTGTGTGAAGACGTCCACTTGGGTGCAATGACTTCTCTTTTGGGCGCTGGGCCGTCTCTTTTAGGCGCAATATCGTCTGTGTAGGACGGAATGTCATATCTTTCGTTCTTGCTGTAACTTTTATAAAAGTCATTTGGTATTGTAAACTTCATCTTGGTGAGGTCGCATTTACTGAAAAGYGGCTTTTCTTCGGCAGTACTTGTCTCTGCATCTCGTTGACTGGAAGATGYTGCAGCAATGACTTCATCATCCTCTTCGTCTTCTCCGTCTTCATCCRCATCTGGAAAGACAACTTTCMCTSTAGKCTCGCCGCTAACCAAGGGTGACTTGGTTTCGTTCTTTGTTTCTATTTGATGAACCGTTGCAGGAACATCCTCGCAGCWTCTTGASGGTTTAATTTCAGGAACATGACATTTGACAACCATTGTGCTGTTGGTAWCTTGCTSCTTGTTTTCTTCATTRGCTATTGCTTTAGCAACAACGTTCTCAACAGCAT